ATTCGTCATCCAACACACACAATCAACTCAATGCACAACATATATCTTAATGCATGCTGCGCACCAATAGCCACATCCATGAAGATTGCCTATGTATTTGTATATACACACAAGCCATACATCCCATATAAACACTGCAGCCTCACATAGAGAGTGGACGTTGTTGTGCATTCCATTACTCTCTATAACATAATCACACTCGTGAATACTGCTGCACTAAACACAAGCAGCATGGCAATATAATTATTCTCACACCAGGCATGCACACCTACGTGCACTATATGACAGGATGACATAAATAGAATACCACATCACGTGTCCTGTGCAAGCTATGTAGAGTATTACGCTAACCACCCTGCATGCAATGCATCTGCTGGTATAAACCAGCATGGATTTGATAGTCAACAGCATGAGTGGTGCAGCCTATTCACACGACAGAGTCGGAATGTGGTCCGGAGTTTTGGATGAATCCAAAATAAATACAAAAAATTCAGGCCAAGATGACCACATTCATGATCCCGGCCGATTCCGAAAATATGACGTCACGGGCAGCGCCGCCACAGCCTGTGACGACACTTCGTATATAACAAAAAATATAGCCGTCATAAATACGTTATGCGAGGGCGGGTAGTATGTATCGAATAGAGTACACGTGAAATATATCAACAGAGTATATCAACAGAGTACACACTGTAGCCAGTGGAGGATGCTAATTATTGGATGGCGCCTGGCGCCTGAATGTTCGCTGTGAAACGTAAACAATGTTGTCTGAGTGGTCACGTTGGTAAATCTCGAGCACGTTATGGCGAGGTACCACACATTTGTAGAAGGGGACTGGGTATCAGCAAGTTGAGTACCTAATAGCGAGCTACCACACTGTCACGTGCTGTGGGGGCGTCCATAAATGACGTCACGCGATTTTGGACGATTTTTGACCCCCCCCCCCCTCGTCACACGGCGTCACAAAAAGTCAGACCCCCCCATAAATATGACGTCACAAAGCTTCCCCCCCCAAACCATATTTCCATTTTGAAAATAAAACATGCTTCAAATCGCTTTAAACTATTGGCATTGTAGTGCGTATTTAATGTGGCGCTGCACTCTGATGTTGTAGGAGAAACATTTATTAAAAATTATATTTAATTCAGTCGAACGTGTTGTCTTTATTTATTTAAAGTTGCGCATTTTGATGTGACGTCACATTTCTCTCCCCCCCCCCCCCTCGTCACAACATCGTCACAAATGTCTGACCCCCTCCCCCACCCCCGCCAGGTGCGTGACGTCATTTATGGACGGCCCCTGTAAATTAACAATGTAATAATAATAACTCGCCGTGAAGAAGCTTCAAAGAGCCCCAAAACTTTGGCAACATCTGGCAAAGTTCCATCCAATTGGCATGTGACACCTTGGAAGGACTAGAACCCGGAGAGAACTCGCCCATGCGAGTTCTCTCGAAGGAAATTCAACATAGAGTATATACCGCACACGTGTGCGCGTGTGTGTTTGGGTATGAACGCCTCGTAAGTTAAACTCTACGAGCATAAAACAACGGACAGCCATTCAGCATACATCATGTGCAGTGAATAACACACAGCACGCAAACTGCAATGCCCATCGATATACCAGCACAAGCTGTACCCACTTGTACGCACACACTCTCATTGCAAACAGCGTAGCTTGCGCATGAAATACACACGCTAAAATATGCTCACCTAATATAAATGCGATACTTTAGCGTATATTTAAAAAAACACACTTTTTTTTAATACACGAGAGATGTCATTAATATGTTGTACACGGATATCCACTGTTGGATGAAGGCCTCCCTCACGCTGTCCAAATCGTGGAGGATATTCGAGCAGACATGACAACGCTGGTCAGTGTGGTTTGGTGGAGCCGGTGATCATGAGCGTGGTGGTAGGTATGGGGGGGCATAGAAGTGCAACACAACAACGGGGTTTTGCTGCAATGCCCTCTGCTGCCCACTGCACGGTCCCCCGCAACGGCAGTAACCTATAGCACCTGTAGACATGGCGTGGGCTGGTCTCACATACACTCGCTCGACTGCTTTTAGAGAATTGGGCTGCTCCGATAAACGTCCTCACGACGTCTAAAAGCCGCTGGGTTGCCCTATCATGTGTGAGTGCCAGGTGGCTTCTGAAAAAAAAATCTGCGTAGTTCATTGGTTAAAAAAATACAAATTGTAGTTTAACACGTAGAAGGCTTTCGCGACCAATAACATCCATAGCAGAGGTTTTTTTGGGAGGTTAGATCGCGTAAATGTATAAATGTGTCGTTAAACCCGCCACCACCCGACCCAGCCAACTAGTAAGAGTTGTCACGTAAACAGAACGTGCCAATTATTTCAGTTTCAGTTTATTTATTTGGTATAGCCCTGTGAGCCATTCGGCTCTTGGAGCGGGTGCAACCACAACAAACAAAAAACAAAAACACGAACAAGAAAAACATCTTAAAGTGACTATGTGACTGTGCAAACAGAAAATCCATGAAAAAAACAGCTAAATATTCCTGAAAAAGCACCGTACACCAACGCTGTGTGCAAAAATCCCAGTGGGATGCAAGTCAAACAACAACTACAAGAAAAATTAGATTAAGGCCATCAGTCTAACTCCGTACTACAACAAAACAAACATGTCCAAACCAAAAAACTTTTCGAAATCACTAAAAAATAAAGCCATAATTGCAATCTAACAGTGATCATAGGGATTGTGACCGAATTTTTTACAATAAACTACATATATAACATGTAACACCAAAACCTAGAGCCATAGCTGGCTGCATGAGTTACTCCACAACAACAGAAGCATCAGTCGGAGTATCAATTTTTTCAATGCACCTTTAAGATCAGCACGCTAAATCAAAATACAGATAATACTTTGCAGCGTCATCCGGAGCGAAACATTTTATTTTATTTTACGCCAATGAATAGCAGTGGCAGCTAGGGATGTACAACTCCTCTAGAGCAGTTTTGAAAGAAGATCTCATTGGTAGCGATTCAAGTTGCAGTTTATTGTCAATAGCATTCCAGACCCTGGGGGCATCAATAGCAAAGGCCCTTCCTCCAGTTTTTGTACGGCAATAAGGAATGTGAAGCTGGTAAATGAGCGAAGACCTGAGGTCAAATTTGTTCTTTGAAACAGAGAGGAGATCCAGCAGGTAGTCACTAGTACAGCACACCGGTGGATAGAAATTGTCGTGAGTATTAGTTTGATTTGCTTCCGAGGTCTAATGAGATGGGGTGCATTCTGGGTTGTTTGGTTTTGTGAACAGACTCCACAGTGATACACGGCAGCAGGACGCCTCTTCCTAGCTGTGGCCGCGGCAGTTGCAGGGACGCGAAAACTCATTTATCCACGACGCTTCTTCCCACGCGTCTCTGTTCAACGGCATCCTATAATTATCTGCGATGGGTTTATTTTTTTTGCGGATAAGAGGAGTCAAATCGCGGATGCGAGGATTCGCGATACTGGTCCTCCGTCTCCCATATCACCCAGCGTGCAGCCAGTGCCGTATTATCCCGAGTAGCAAAATGAGCTACATATGCTACGGGCCCCGCATTTGCTTAATCCTGCACTGTGTGCTACAGCACGCAACGTGCACAGCAGCCAGTGTAGAGTGCATGGCGAGCGGGAGATGTGCGCTTCAACTTTACTGCACTCAGATTTTAAAAGTGGTCATATTTATCAGGGTCCTCTGGTGTAATAGAGTGCCAGTCGCCAACTGCTCTTCACTCAATCTCTCTGGTCTGTGTGCTCTGAAGAGGGGGCATTGCCCGAAACGTCGCTTATTACATGTTTCTATTCCCTTCTAAATCGGTTTTATTGTAGAATGTGTTTTTTTTATGCAGTGCAAGTGTAGAATGTAAAACAATATTTTTATTATTTTATTGTTTCCCTTCTACGTGACTTTACCGAAAGAACCAATAATATGGATCCCTGCAGTCACTAAAGCTTTAAATAAATAAAAAATGTATAATGTAGTTACTGTATCGACCAAAAATTAGCAATGGAATTTTTTTTCATCTCTAATCAATTACTCCATAGCTGTCAACCCATACGGTTTACCCCGTATTCTTGTACAGGGAAATTGAGTATTCGGGTCCATACGGTGTACAGCCGTTTCAATACGGGCAAACACAAATGTAGTCTATGTGTGTGTGTTTCTCTCTTGTGATGGAACTGTGTAGGATGAACGTTGAGATTTATAAGGGGCACGGGGTGACCAATAAGGTCTGAATTGGTGTGGAGTAAGGTGGGGCACTGAAAAGGTGTTGCAAGGTGTGTGGTGTATATTAGTGTATAGTGTAGTGTATAGGATGCACGTTGAGATTGATAAGGGGCACGGGGTGACCAATAAGGTGTGAATTGGTCTGGAGTAAGGTGGGGCACCGATAAGGGGTTGGCAGCTATGCTACTCGGACCCCCTTAATACATTTATCTGGTGCCCCCCCCCCCCCCCACTTAATTCTGACTCCCGAAGGCGGGAAACCCCCTGCTCCGCCCTACAAGCCACGCCCATTTCATCGTGGCGATGACGTCACCGAGCCGAGCCCATCAACCTCCCGTCCAGCGGCACGGGTGGAAACAGACGCGAGTCGGATTATTCCCCAGCTTATCGATGAGGCGAGCCGTAAAACCATGAAATATCCGTGCAGTCCGGTATGGTGAACGGGTGACTATGAATAATGCATGTACACGGCGTACAGGAGGTAATGTATACCGTTGTATACATATATATTATTCAGGGTGCAGTATATGGTAACATGGCAACAATATTAAAGGTAACTAGGCTCCGTGCATACGATCTACAAAAAAATGTTAACAGAATTACAGGTAGCATCATGAACAGAATAGCATCCGATAAAATACGCTATACCTGTGTGCATTTTTTTAAAATATATAAAAACAAAGCGCATGAAATCACAAATTGCTCAATTAATACAAAACGATCGTACGTATAATGACATAAATGTGACTCACTCCATTTGATGAACACGGCACTGCCTCGATAGCCGATTGCCTCGTAGGCTGTAGAATCTTCGTGTGTGTGTGTGAACGCTTGTGTGTGTGGATGCCTGTGTGTGTGGATGCCTGTGTGTGTGCACGCCTGTGCGTGTGTGGATGCCTGTGTGAAATATATCACTTACACAGTAAAACGTATAGATGTGTGTGTGTGTAGATGCGCGCGCGTGTGTGTGTAGGGTTTGATGTACGTGTGTGCACGTAGACGCAGAGATACGGGCTGTGTATGATGCAGCGCGCACACACGCAGGGATGGAGAGAGGGAGGTGATGAAGAGGGAGGGAGGGATGGAGAGAGAGGAGGAGGGATGGGCCGAGAGAGAGAGAGGAGTGGGGTGGGGGGTGTTGGCTGGGATAGCGAATGGATGCGGTGAGGATGTGTCAGGATTACAGGGCTGCTCAGCTTACTATGCGCCGACACAAGCCGTATGCTGCTGCTGCTGCTCATCTGCTGGAAGCAAGAATCGCCTCCTCGTCCGAGCCACGCCTGTCCCTCCCTCCTTCCCCTGTCTCTCCTGCCCTGCACCCCACCACCACCACCAACCCCACCATGTGCATCAGCGGGGCCTGCTGTCTCTCTCTCTCTCTGAGCCGGGCAATATTCACCACACGCGCACTCACTCACACACGCACGTCCTAAGGCACCCGCATCCAAGTCAGCCTCAGACACGCGGCTATAACAAGGCCTTGCCTTCCATTCAAGTACCAGGACACGCACACTGGCATCCTAATTTATTGCCTGCCATTGAAAAACTAAGACACACACATATATGATTTCCCTTGCCTTCTAAGCAGATATATACACACACACATACCTTAATGTCTTGCCACTAACACACACAGTGCCTTGTCACTGACACACACACAGTGCCTTGCCACTGACACACACACAGTGCATTGTTACTGACACACAATGCCTTGTCACTGACACACACACACACGGTGCCTTGCCACTGACACACACACACACAGTGCCTTGTCACTGACACACACACACACAGTGCCTTGCCACTGACACACACACAGTGCCTTGTCACTGACACACACACACAGTGCCTTGTCACTGACACACACACACACAGTGCCTTGTCACTGACACACACAGTGCCTTGTCACTGACACACACAGTGCCTTGTCACTGACACACACAGTGCCTTGCCACTGACACACCACACACAGTGCCTTGTCACTGACACACCACACACAGTGCCTTGTCACTGACACACACAGTGCCTTGTCACTGACACACACACACACAGTGCCTTGCTACTGACACACACACAGTGCCTTGTCACTGACACACACACAGTGCCTTGCCACTGACACACACACACAGTGCCTTGCCACTGACACACACACACAGTGCCTTGTCACTGACACACACACACAGTGCCTTGCCACTGAACCAACAACCACTGTTCGCCGAGTGGCAATGACGTCACCACGGCGCCTGTGCCAGGCTAGGTGCACATTTGAGGCCACGTGCAGTGTCGAAGGCTCGTTGGCAGGAGATCACGGGACAGACCCAGCAGGTGTCGTGGGTTGACTGATTACTTGGCTGATGCACCACCTGTGCCCCCTACTGTGCCAACTCGCTGTGTTTTATCCACCCGGCGCTCCTCTCGTTGTTGTGAGCGTCGCTCCTCTGCCCTCCGTTGTTGTTGGAGGGCGACTGCCTCCAACTGCCCAGCAGCGTCCTTCACGAACCTCCTCCACAGAGGCCGATCTTGACACCGCTGGTACCAGTCATCGGCAAGTCCACTCAGCTCCACATCCTCCTGTACCACATCACTCCATCTCTTCTCTATCCCATGTCGTGGTCGTTTAATCATCTCTGTCCGGCCAAGCAAAAGCTGCTTGGGTATGCAGTGACTAGACATGAGGGCTGCATGACAAAGACAAAGATCCCCTGTATAGCCTTAACAGACTGTTGGGGCAAGTGCTGTTAGCGAGCAGCACCTATGAAGGCCGGAACGGCACACGAGGGGGTGGGTGGCCAGCAACCACGTCCGACCGCCTTTGTCTCCCCAGTGGCGATGTTTATACACCGCACCAAGTACTCATTTGAGGCTGCGTCGACCTAGGGGAGGCCCAGGACCGGTTCAGATAATCGTTACTGATTTTGGCCGTGAGCGGGAATCGAACTCGGGTCGCCGGGTTCGTAGCGCAGCGTAGCTCCAACCACTACACTGCCGCTCCCCACATGACATGCACACAGTACACACACACAGTACACACACACAGTACACACACACATATTAACACGTTGCCTCCCATCCAGCCACTGACACGCACGCACACAACTCTTAACGTCTCCAATTCAACTTTTATAACACACGCACATTCGAATGCATTAATATCCTATCTATTCATGAACACACACATCAAAATAATGTCTTGCCTCCCAACTAGCCACTGACATACACACACATACAAACATCACCTCGCCGTATTTCGCATCCATCCTAATGCCCTGCATGCCAATCACTGACACACACGCACTATGCATGTGAACAGGACATGATGTCAGATTGAATGGCTCCCATTCAGAGTGAACCAGGATACAAAGCACTCGCACGCCGCCACAATTCCCACTGCTCACACGCAAGCAGGTGCGGTGGGCGCTCATTTCCGCTTGTGGTTTGGAGCTGGTGGTGGAACTTCCACGGTCGCTTGGCCTGGACCAGGCACGGAGAGATGCGCGCTTGGAATCTGCATTGAGGGAGACTGTGAAGAGGAGCCCGTGGGCGAGAGAAGCACGCACGCCGGCTCATGGCATCATCCAGAGCGTCGAAGTGACAGTGGTGCTTGGGGGCAGGACGCGTCACGGTGTAGGAGGGGTCGGTGGCCGAGGGGTCACGGAATGCAAAACGGAGTGGCAGCCAAGGGACGGAGCGTAGGAGACGGAGCGGTGAGATCGACTCACGGTGCCGCCGGCTCCGGGCCGGATTCTCGCGAACGCACAAATCGCGAGATACGTAGGTTGGGTTTGGGGGGAGATTTCATCCAGCGGTGGATTGACCACGGGATGACCAGGACCGTGGGCTCAAACCTGCCGTGCCAGCTGTCGGGGCTCATCAAGAGCGTTACTGAAACACGCAAAAACAAATGCACATCACGGGCCAAGCTTTCACGAAATCTAACGGGCTCATTGTGCGTAAAGCCAGTGCCGGATTATCCTCGTTGCAAAAGTAGCTACATATGTAGTAGCTACTATATTATTGGTTCTTTCGGTAAAGTCACGTAGATAGAAAATAAAATAAAAAAATAACAGACAATAAAAATAATAAGTAATAAAAATAAGAGATTATTTTATATTCTATCTACGTGAATTTACCGAAAGAACCAAGAATATGAATTCCTGCAAGTTTTAAGTCAAAAGCTACGGGCCCCGCACTTTCAAGGGCCCCGTGCTAAATGCTTTCAAGCTATCGATTCATGGTTCAGTGATTCTGCACTTGCTCTATTACTATAGTACTATACCGCCTTCAACTTTCATGAACGACTGGGTGTTTAAAGTTAGCGATTTGTCGTGTTATCTGGCCGTATAGCAAATTAAAAAATACAATTACCTTACAACGCAAGCTAAAAATTTACGTGGTCAAATATTTAAGTGATTTTTTATATATATTATTTAGGGCCCCTTTATAACATATGCTACAGGCCCCGCACTAGCTTAACCCGGCACTGCATTGAGCACACGCGTGTCCTGACGGGCGAGAGAAGGCCACATTGTGACCACTTCTTCAGCCGCGCCGCATTGCATAACGCCAACGGAACGTGAAACTCCGGCGGCAGGTGGTGAGGAGTCGCAACTGGGCCACTTGGCAACGTCATTCCACTGGCGTGGAAGTGCTTCGTGTTTTGGATGTTTTGTGGCCGGCTGTCTTTTCGCCGATGGCTACAGCCAGCAATGAAAACAACCACGAGGCTGCTAATTGGTCAGGAAGGACCCAAATTGGCATTACGTTTTGTCTTTTAACTTTTTAAATATGTTTTTAGAGATACCGCGCACACCAAGGGCCTGAATAAAGCAAAGCTTTTGTGAGTTTGAAATGCATTTCACTGTGCGGATGTGTCTTTGTGTGTGTCTTTGTGTGGGGAGCGGTGAGATGACGGTTTGCGCGCTGCGCTACAAACCCGGTCATCTGAGTTGGAGTCCCGCCCAGCGCCAACATCAGTGATGGATAACAGAACCGGTCCGAGACCACCCCTAGGTTGACTGAGCTTTATATAAGTACCTGGTGCCGTATGCACTAGGGAGACAAAGGCGGACGGGAGTCGTGCTGGCTATCCACTCACCTCGTGTACCGTGCCGGCCTTCACAGGTGCTTGCTAGCAGCACTTGCCCCAACAGTCTGTTAAGGCCACACGGGGGATTTTTGTGTCAGAGACAGATCTAAAAAGTACATCCAGTGTTTTTTTTTTAATCTGGTAAATATCAATGGATCCACCACTGGTTTGTGTGTGGTTAGATCGGTGGTGCAGTGGTTAGCACACTAACACAGTGAACCCGTAAACCTGAGTTCGATTCCTGCTCACGGATAACATCAGTGGCGAATGGAGCATTATAAACTTACGTTTACTCGTCCCTGACATGGCTGCGGTGTCTAAACATCGTCACTGGGGAGACGATGGCGGCTGGAAGCTACCGACTGTTTGCTAACCTGGCCTTCATAGGCGTTTGCGAACAGCAATTGCCCCTGCAGTCTGCATGGTTACACACAGCGTCGTTTTGTTACGGAGCTGAGAGATGCCGCGGTTATGGCACCCGGCGTACAATTTGAAGATTGAGTTTAAATCCCGATCGTGTAGGTGTGGTGGGTTTTGACTTAAAACTTTCGTGACTACAGGGATTCATATTCTATGGCTCTTTCGGTAAAGTCACGTAGACAGAATTTTTTTTAACTATATAAATAAATAATACATATATCAAATCTCGCGACGTTTCGATCGCAACAGAGGCGGTCGTCATCAGGCGATCGAAACGTGACTTTTTTTGCTTTTTAAAATATTTTTTTTATATTTTTATTTTCATCCTTTTTATTATTTTCATTTTATTTTATATCTACGTGACTTTACCGAAATAACCATAGAATATGTAATGGCTTCATTGTATTCGTTAGATAGATAATGCCGTTAGCGAGTTTAAAAGGGAGATCCGTGATCCGTGAGCAACAGCAGGTAACAAAAAGACGAAAAAAAAACCTACAAATATTGCAGAGAACGAACACGGGAACCTTGATGAATATTGCACGTCCATAACAACGAGGCAATTCAACGGCGGTACACAAAACGCACGCGAGCCGCAAACAGTGCAAGTCCAACCCTTCAACGTTGGGCCAGGGGGTGCACGTGAATCTCCGTGTTGTCGTCTAGCAGTGGCTTCAACACGCGCGGATCGACACAGACCGCCGTGGAACTACGCGAGAGGAAGAGGCGCCATTAGAAGTTAGGTTCACGTGAACAT